ATCGTATATATACATATATATATTATTCATACCTTTGGTGTATAGTATGCAAGTTGATTTTGACATCAAATTTTTGGGTAAAAAAATGGGTCTTATACACCGAAAAATACAGTAATCTGTGCCACAGCCAGGTATTTTAAAGTTACACCACTGTGGTGTGATGGGAAGTTGGTATCTAAGAATATTGTGAATAATCTACTGTTTGCATTATTCTGATGCTGTTATCTTGTTTCTGATAATAATGTTAATAATTAAGATTGGTTTAACTGGTTAAGAAACTTTCCAATTATTCACTTTGTGTTTGCCAAAATATCTAAATATATGTAATAATCTATTTTGATGTATTATGTTAAATGAGACTGACTGTAACATTTGGAAATTTTTTTCTGTCATTGCAGATGCCATGAAATACACTGTTATTGTTAGTGCCACTGCTTCTGATGCAGCTCCCCTTCAGTACCTGGCACCATATTCTGGTTGTGCCATGGGTGAATTCTTTAGAGACAATGGCATGCATGCTTTGATTATTTATGATGACTTGTCAAAACAGGTAAACCGCTTCAAATGCTTTTATTTTGAAATGATCTCTGTATGTGTTTAAAGATTGCAAATTTCAGTGTACTGTTCTGTTATTTGTTTTGTTGATGTACAATAAATACCAAACCAAGAAAGCGATCAGCTGATCTGATTCAGTAATTTTTATTTTAACATTTTTTTTTGCCTATCAGAATTAAGAAAAACATTTTCATTAGGGTTTGAGATGTTTTAAAGGGGGAAGTTCCATAGTAACATCTGTATATCCTAGGTTTGAGGTAGAAGTTTGTTTTATTTGCCTTTTAGTGTTTGTCTAGATAAAAGTATTAAAGTGTATGTACAAGGTTTTGCAATGATTGCATAATACAAAGATTTTAGATATGGTCACTGTAATTACTATCACATATAAACATCTGTATATCCTAGGTTTGAGGTAGAAGTTTGTTTTATTTGCCTTTTAGTGTTTGTCTAGATAAAAGTATTAAAGTGTATGTACAAGGTTTTGCAATGATTGCATAATA